GGAGGGAGACAGGGAGGGGGAGGGAGGGAGAGAGAGAGAGGGAGGGAGAGGGAGTAGTAAAAGATTTGATTATCACTCAACAAGACTTACTCTTTCATAGGCTTCAGCATCCTTAGGGCACTCCTTATTATCATATTCATTAGTTGGGTGGAGCAACTTCCATGAATACTAAATGAGAAAAAACATAACCACACGACACTAGTACATGTACATGTAACACTATAGCAACAGATGCACCACAAAAATGATCAAATACATGTATAGTGTACAAGGCACAAGCACAATGTACATGTACATAACATATGGCAGTAATGAATTCATAAACTGTGTATACAAATTTACATGTACTTTATGTATAAAAACAATGCTTGCTATTTTTCATATCCTTTACATAAACTGAAACAAAATTTTGTCCTCAAATCTCCCTCTCCCTTCCCCCCCCCTCCCTCTCTCCCCCAATGCTCTTACCAGTTCCATTACTGCAGTGGTCCATGATGTTAGCAGTTTGATTCCCTGCTGGGCCATCTCTGTCAGCTCCTTAGCTCTCTGGTCATTCAACTCAAACTGCTTCTTTGTGATAATCTTTAGAATAAAAGTAAATTCACTTTCAAAACCAAATGAAATTGGTATAACTTTACATGTATATACAGTACATTCTACAAGCACTATTCTTTATTTTTTAATTTTAAAAATTAAATAATTATAACACTATAGAAGTATTCTTACTATATTTATTATTTATCATAATATTTTTAAAAATTAAATAATACAAGTATTCTTACTTCATTGTTATAGCGGGCTAGTTCTGATATGAATCGAACGTGCTCTGATCGAATGACCTCCACACGATTCTGAATTGCGACGGTGACCTTCTCTTCCTGTTGCTCACTAGTGCAGGTCCACTTGGACTGATCGTAATGAGGTAACTGTCTTATCCAGTCAGCAAAACGTATCTGGACATCACCATATAAGGGAGCCACTGGTAGCAGCTGGAGGAATGGATGAAAAATAGAGAAAAAATTAGTTAATACAATGTCATTATAATACAAGTAAGTTGATACAATTACAGTGTAGCCTCTTTATTAAGGACACCATTGGGCCCACACTACCTGTCCTTAATACATGAACAGTGTAGCCTCTTTATTAAGGACACCATTGGGCCCACACTACCTGTCCTTAATAAATGTACAGTGTAGCCTCTTTATTAAGGACACCATTGGGCCCACACTACCTGTCCTTAATAAAGAGGTGTCAGAAGTACTTACAAAATATCCTCAACTCTCATTATAAAGGATACATGTACATGTACATTAATTGAAACCAAAATTAAAGAATCAAAGTACATGTACATTGTATGCTCCTGCTTAGTCAATTCTTACTTTGAAGAGTTTGTCCACTCGTGATATGTTGAGTTTCTTAAGTCGATTTATATTGACAACATTTCCATCCAAGAGGACCATACCATACCCAATAGCCTAACAATGGAAACAAGAAAACATGAGAACCAGTAACATATGTACATACATGTACATGTATGCATGTACATGTGCATGTATGTACATGTACATGTAAGTATGCATGTATACATGTACTTATCCAATAAAAGCTGGATACTGGCTGAAACAGGCAGAATGTGATTTAAAAGNCTATGCTTATTCTAAACCAGAATGAAGGAGTGCAATGTTTAAGTCATGCATGGAGTGGGACTGTCAACA